GTATATTCCATATGTCAGGAATAATTATATTAAGTAGAGCTTGTGTTTTATGTGAAAGATTAGAGGCACACTTTTAATACACGGCATTAAATATTTTGGTGCTTTACAATTATATTCCCGTGGTAAAGTTTCCACTGACTTGTTTTATATTTACTTCTGGTTATCACTTTTTTCTAAATTTAGCATTAAATATACTCCATAGTTTGACTTCAGAGAATGTCACTAATTCAGTTGTTAACGTACCCTGGAGGTCATTAGTTTTCAAGTCATACTCCCAGGTGCACGGTGAATTTTCAGTATTTCTTTGTATTTTAAAATATAGTGAAAAAGTTTCGTTTCATGGAATGAATATTTATGCTCAGATTGTTTATGCGGTTTATTAGTTCTCCAAAGGAGCAGAACTAATAGGTAATAGATATATAGAGCTATAAATGGGAAGATGAGGCAGGATTTGTTAGGGGCATGGGTGCACATGATTATGGAGCCTGAGAAGCCCCCAAATGTGTTGTCTGGAAGCCAGAGAAAGAATTTGCTAGTGTGATTCAGGGCATGGTGGAAGACTTCAAAAGTAAAGCAGTTTTGATACAAACGTTGGAGTATAAAAGTCAGAAAACCTAGAAAATTGGGGTTCTAGTTCCAAAGGGGATAGAACGAGTCAGTTCGTTTTTATTCTGCTTATTTTTGTTTTCTTTTGTCTAAGCCTTCAGCCTATTAGACAGTGCTTGTTCAAAACTGAGGAAACCACGTAAAGGTACAAGATCCCAGTGATGAATGTAACTCTACTATATAACTAAAATGAACCAATAACACTCAATTTAAAAAACTGAATAAAGACAGACCTTACTCAGCCTGTTTATTCAAATGCCAATATTGTCTGGAAACACCCTGAAATGCACAACTGGAAAAAACGCTTAGCAAGCTGCCTTGTCATCCTTCCTGTATCGCCCCAGCTACAGGGATATTGAATCCAGGGAGTTCACACTGAGCTATATCTTTAGCATTTTTTTTTTAAAATTTTGAGACAATATCTGGCTAAGTTTTCCAAGGTAGGTTTGAACTTGCTATCCTCAGTAGTACTGAGATTACAGACAGGCACCATCACTCCTATCGTCCATCCTACTTTACTCCTGTTGAATTGATATATGAAATTAACCGTATCAGAGAGAGAAAGGGAAAAATACGAACGACCTGAAACCAGAGAACAAATTCTCCTGGAAGGCATCAGCAGGTTACCATGCTTGGTAAATTCTACTCTGGAGTATAAAATTTCTTAAATTTGCTTGAGATATGACAAGCTCCCATGCAACTTCCTAAAGGGCTTCCTCCTTGCTCCACACATATATTATTACTGAATTTATTTATTTATTTATTTTTTGCTTTCTAGTGTCAAACTTATTTGTGGGTATAATATAAAAGCTGTAACTCAGGGATCATTTGTGCCAGGCAGCCTCTGAGATGATTCCCAGTGATCTTCAACTCTCGGTATACAATGTTTATGTCATTCCTTGGCTGTGCCTACAGATTTGTTTCTAACCGATGATGACGAAGGTGGGATGTCACTTGGAAGATCAGGTTACAGAATAGAGTGGTGTTCACGCTCTGTTTCTTCTCTCACTCATTCTTTGTCAGAGAAGCCTGCTACCTGTCTAAGCCGCCTAGAGAAGCGTATGTCGGAAGGAACTGATGCCTGCTCAGTAGCTCGGTCACAAGTGAAGCTGGGGAGAAGCTTAAAATGAAGTTCTCTTTGCACAGCCCCATTCAGGGCCTTCACTGCCGATCGTACAACAAGATCCAGAATTCAGGAGTCTTCCCCGCAAAGGCCAGACTGAGGCTCTTAACCTGCAGAAATTATAGGGTAAGTTTTTCTGTTTAAGCTCTCCAACATTACTTCGTAACTGAATATGAATAGGTCATGGAAGGAAATGGCTGCCTAACAGTTATGAATGACATGGATGCAGTTAGAAGGATTTTGTGGAAAATCTATAAAGAAACCTAAATCATCTCGAACAAAAAATGAAGGAGTGTTTCGAGAATGATGTCAAAATATGAAGCAAGAAAATGACTTCAAAATATCAAACTGTCTCAATCCTGGTCCAAGTCTGAAGGTCTAAGAACCAAGAGTGATGGAACTTGGAAGACAGAAGAAGGCAAATGTTCTCCATCAGAAAAGAAAATAGATCTATTCTTCCTTTGACTTTTTGTTCTACTTTGACAGTGAATAGGTTGGATGATGCCAATCCACAGCATGGAGATATATTTGAGTTTTCCCATGGCTGCCACAAAATCCCTGACACAATTTAAAGGAGGAGAAGTTTAATCTGGATCATTGTTTCAGGATTTTAAGCCCATGGTTAGCTGCTTCTCGGTAGAAAACTCTTGATGGGAGGGTATGAGGGAGCAAAGCTGCTTGATTCATGGTGACCTGGAAGCAAAACAGAATTGGAAAAGGTGTCAAGAGAAAAGGGTGAAGGCTGTGGATTTAGCTCATTGGTTCTGTCACCAAGTTCAATCCCTGCACGGGGGGGGGGGGGCAAAAGAGCAAGGGATCAGATATATAACCCAAGGTCATTCATTTATGACTTACCCACATATGGGCTTTGTTAATCCCCAACCATGTTGACAATCAGTTAGCTGTCAGAGAAGGAAAATAAAAAAACCTTATTCTATTGACTAAAATGTGAATCTCCTACAAAATTAGCCTCACAAACTATATTGGCTAGGGTTCTCTAGAGAAAAATATATTTCTATATTTTTTCTATTTCTGTTTCTATTTTTATCCCTACTGAGGCTCAATAGTTCACAATAGCCCTCTGCATGCTAACAAGTCAGAGGATACAGTAGGTTCTTAGCCCAAGAAGCTGGAAGCCTCAGAACAAGGATCGAGGACCCAGTGTCACTCTGAGGCTAAAGGCCTAGGGGCTCCTTGGAGAGTCACTGGTGTGAGTCTAGGTCACATGGCTGAAGAAGTGGGATGTTATAAGTGATAGCTACATCAAAAAACTCACTTGCTCAAGCAAAATTGAGCTTTCAAGAGAAGACCAACTTCCTACTCCTTACATTTTTGTTCCATCCAGGCAGCCAGCCCATTGGATGGTGCTACCCACCATCAGGATAAATTCTCCCGCCTCACTGATCTGGTCTGGAGGTCAGTAACCTCAGGAAAAACACCCACCATTCCTCCCAGAAGCATGCTTTACCAGTCTCTTTGTCATTGCTCAGTCTAGTGGAGTTGACAATCAGTACTACCCATAATTCAGACACATTCAAGGACAATACTTTCCCAGCTATATGTCCATTTCTCTGCCCAGTCAAACTGGGACATGAAATGACTCATAATAGTATGTAAAAATGTCACCTGGCATTTGATAACAAGAATTACTTTTGTTATCAGTTGGGAAGGAGTTTAACAAATATCTTGCCTGCAGTCATAGGGAAGATTAAATTTGACTGGTGACCTTGATGAACTAGCTGAGGAGATTTCCAAGCACTTTGTATTCTACCTTGTTAGAGTTAAAACTGTGATATAGAAATAGAGTTATTGCAAAATCTACCTAACCACTACAGATGCCTGTAAATATACAACAAATCCATTCTTTAATATGTAGCATTGCTACACTATGTGCTTACATTATTATTACTTTTGTTTTGTTTTGTTTTTTGTCTCCCTTTGTAGTTCAGGCTGGCCCTGAACTCACTATATAGCCCAGGCTGGCCTTGAACTCATGGTGATCCTTCTGCCTCAGCCTCCAGAGTGCTAGGATTATAGGCATGTACACCATGCCCTCATGTGGACGTATTATTATAAACTCGGAGCCAACATTCCATTCCAATAATGGATGAACTCTGAGTATATAGGGGATGGGGAAGGGGATGTTGCCAAAACCTCTGCCGTGGGTTCTGGCCTCCTACGAGCTACAACAGCACAAGGCGAGAGAATAAAGACAGGAAACTAGAGTTAGAGTGAAGCTGATGGCAGCAAAGATGAAGGCCCCCAAGCACATCCAGAATTTATGGAATATAATTATGGGAAGAAAGGGAGCCAGGTATGATTTGAAGGCATCTGGTGAACTACTGCTGAACACCCGGCATGATGGTGCCAGGCAGAGATGTTGGGGAATAAGCACTGCTTATCTTGCTTGGATAGAAGAGATAGGTAGTGGGACTGGATGTAACGAGTAAGCAACCTATCAGGTCAGCGAGAAGCCATAATTCAGGGGAGAGGATCTTAATTGGGGTCACGCTGATCTTAGCTGCACATAACTCAGTAGAGCCCTTCCACTTCACAGACCAGAGCCTAGGTTCCTGCGGCAGCCATTGAGGAGGGGCTGTACTGGCCCAGTCCACCATCTGACATGCTCGTTTGAGTCACATAGAGCATTCGTGTGACTCTTGATACAAAACAATATAGCCGAATTACGCAAAGCTAGAAGTAGGTGCCATTCATACCCACAAGTACTAGGCAGGGATGTCTGCTACATGAGTGGTTAATAATTAATTTTTGTTTTAGTTTTTTTTTTTTTTTTTGGTACCAGGGGTCAAACTCAGGCCCTTGCACTCGCAAGGCAGGCCACAGAACCACTGAGCCAAATTCCTGGCCTGGTATATTTTTGATACAAATGAAGAAATGCAATCTGGGAAACAGCATCTATTACCAGACAATGAATTGAAAGGGAGTATAAATTAGAAAAAATATTAATAAGAATAAAATGAGCAAAACAAAATTTTTATAATGTACCGATTTCCAAAGTTTTATTTTGAGGAAGCAGAAATAAAAGCAATTATTAAACCAATTAAGAGAAATTCTGTCAAGTCAGCTTGCTAAAGACCACTTCCTTTCAGCAGTGTTTGCATCTTGCCAGCCTCAGATCCATGTCCACGGTGTCCCTCCGAAACTCATTTCACCTTCTCAAGCTTCAATATGTCCTGGATAAAGATAGCAGCTTCACATGGTTATTATTTAATTCACGGGTAATAGCAATCACTTCTTATACAAGAGCTTGGCAAATAGTAGGAACGGAGTCAAGGTTAATTAACTCTGAATCTTTATAATTGCCGTGATATTGAGATGTGAAACGTTCGCTTCCGAGGAACATCAGTTTGCATAGTTTTGCCACCGAGTCACTTGATCTGAAGTCCCTTTTAGAAGAAAAGAAAATGACAGACTTAAAAATTTGATCTAAAAGTCCAACTCCTACTCTGTACCCTTGACTATACTTTTCAGATTTCCCTTATTTGACTCTAGCTATATACTTATCTATATATTTTATTATTTTCTAGTTTATTTATATTTTACCTTTAGTTGTTATCTATCTCTTAAAGCATACATTTTTATCCATGAGGATATTTTTTATTTCACTCACTGAAGGAATCCAAGTACTTAGAAACAGACAAATAATCAATAAATAATTCTGAAATTAATAAATAAATATTTATCTCCATTCAGTATTTCCTAAGAGCTAATTATTTTTCAACACAGCTTTCTAAGAATATATGATTTAAAGGAATTCAATAACTCGACCAACTGGACCTAACCAATTACCAACATGTATCTTGAATCCTGTTTTCACAATTGAACAATTTACACTTGTCCAAAAGAATATTGGAAATAAAAAAGTGTCCTCATTACACTGTGGCAGCAATAAGACACAAGGAAACTTCAGTGGCCAATTAACGTTCTAAATCTGATATGGAAATTTTCACTCAAAATATCTTAACAAATTGTATTTCTATTTTTCAGGTTATAAGATGAAAATAATTATTTTCCTCTTGGGAAAACAATCATTGTCCAATTTCAAAATTATTACTTTATTTAACTGCTTAAATTACCAGTGCCAGTTATTTTTCCTAATGCCTCATTCTGAAAGTCAGCACTTCCGTATGCGTGGACTAACCATCATCCCCTGGGTGATGTTATTTATTTGGAATACTGTTTTAAAAAAGCAGTGGAAAAAGAGAAAATTGTTGGCAAGAAGGAAACAGTAATGTGAAAGGAAAAATAAATATGTAAGAGTTCTCATAAGCTTGCTGGTTTTTGGTGTTCTGAGTGACTTAGCCTTCAAATCGCAGAGGGCCTAGAGTGTAGGCCCTCTCTTAAATTAGAGAAAATATTTGCTGTCTGAACAGCACTATAAAGAAAAGACAAAAATGCCACATACTGAACCATTATGAATAAAATGCTTAAATCAGTAAGAACAATGTTTAAGCCAAGTATTTGTGGTTTTGTATCCTTGGATACCACAGAGAATTTGTTAACATATGCATTTGTTTCTGAACTTTCTCTTCAGCCTATTGACAAAATCAACCCGGTTTCTAGCTTTTTACAGAATTTGGTCTAATCTTTCAGAGTCTAACTGTATCATATTTCCAAGATCACTGACAGACTTAGTGATCCACTGAAATGACTCAGAGTACTTAGAAAAGCTGTTATATAATGGTTAGAGTGGAAAGTAGAAAGACAGAAGAAAGAGGTACAATGGAATCAGCAAAGGGAAAAGACCTCTGTGATAAAATGCAGGAAGAACCTGACACAAGCTTCCAAGTGTCCATTCTTCAGACTCCTGAGCAGCAACAGGCATTTAACATAAATTTCACTGTGAGCACGAAATACTTCAACTGGCACATTATGGCCCAAGGCCTCAGTGGTACAAAAGAAAAAAAATTCCCATAAGGCAGAATGTTTCAAGGTCTCATGGCCCAACCTTGAGAAACCAAAGGCCAGTTCTAAAAAACAAGATTTTTCTGAGGAATGTGCAGGATTTGAGAATCCAGGCAGGGTGAACTAACCCTTTATTTCATAATCTGTCTCCCTATGTATGGACTGGTTCTTTTGTTGAGTAATGCTTTTATTATTCCAAG